CTACATGAATCAAGCGTGATGTCAGCAGTAACTATAATCTTTGCTCTAGCAGCTCAAACTCGTCACCGTGTGTTACCTGAGAGAGAGAGGCTGATGTTTTGGACTTCAGCGGCATGACGGGCTGCACGAGGATCTCGGGGAACATAGACGCCTGCGGCGGGGACGAAACACTGCTGTAGGACGGAGGAACCAGCATCATCACTAATAATAGGAGGCGCTGTCGGGCTGTTAAAGCAACTCCATTCAAAGTGTATCTGAATCTGGTTTAGTGAGTCGGTTTATTCGGACAGCTGTTTAGTGTACACAGGTGGTCTGACTGCAATGGGCTCTGAGACCTGTTGAGCTGTTTCTGCAGCAGCTCCAGTCTGCTCTCCATCTGGCTGCGCTGCTGGCGGCTGATGCTGCGCAGGGGCATGCTGGGATGCGGCGAGGGCGACGGGAGATTGCAGCGGGGCACCTCCTGATACTGCCTCCCCCGAATGTCACCCCAAAAACTGAAGATATTAGACACACCTGAGAATGCACCTGAGACAGAAAGACGCACATTACTACCACATACAGCATGATTTATAACATTTATCTTTCGAAATACTACGGTTTAAATAATATTAATATTAATTCATAATATTACCATAATTAATTTTTTTATTTGATAATTGTTACTTATTATTATTTTACATTTTCTTTTATTTTCCACTATCACTGCTTGATTATATAATATTATATTACATTATATTGGGTACTGTTTAATAATTTATTAAATATTTAATTCATTATATATATACACAAACACAATGAAAAATTGATCTTTTTGATCAGATCTTTTATATAATGCCTGTGTTTTTCATAAAATGTAAATAAAAATAAAAATATTTTAATATTATAATGTTAACAGTTTTATTTTCATTTTGTAACATTAAAACTATCATGGTTGTTATATATTGTATTTATATTTATTATATATATTGTTTGTATTGTATTTTTTATATATTTTATACAGCTTAATATAGAATTTAAATTCTGAATATTTATAATATTATTAATTCAATTATTTGTCCTTTTTATATGATATAATACATACAGTATATGAGTTTACTGTTGTCATTCTGTCACCTGATAGGGCGTTGCATGTGTTTCCTGTTTTGGGATCGCCCTCTCCTTCAATCACATCCATGAGTGTGGTGGAAGGGGTGGGGCATGTGTGCACAGGCTCCTCCCTCTCATCGCCACTGGAGTGGGAGGAGATAGAATTCCGAGGCTCCTCCCACCCCGGTTTGAGCTCGTTCTGGTTACTGGCTGCTTGCTTTCTGCCTCTCCGGATGGGCTTCTGATTCTTCTTGATCTCTCCAGCATCTGCATCGTCTGTAGAAACAAACGCGGGATGGATATTCATCAGGGGCACATGCAAAACAGCTCCAATGTCTGCACATATCATCCGTAAATAGTGTGTTTCTGAATGTTCAATGACGGAGACTACATGAATTATCAGGAAAACCTTTTTCTGTCCGTCGTCGGAATGAAAGCTTTCTCCTCCGCAGTTTGTTGAAGCTGGCGCAGTCTGAATCATCGCTGCTGGGGGATCCGGGAATCATGTTGGTCTGTAAGGGAACATGGCCATGCACACCTCCATGAACTCTGTGTTTCTGCTCCATTTACTGGAAGATTTGTACAGTGAGCGTGACTCACGTCTCTGAGGTTGAAGGTGATCTCCAGGTTGCTCCAGAAGTGGTCGGTGAACTCCGGGTACATGTCTAGCACCTCCAGCACGTCGTCTCTGTGGATCTTGTGCAGGTCGCAGTACGTCAGCGCCCTCACGTCTGCGTTGGACTTGCCGGGCCGTGCATACAGGTTGATGGGCTCACCGAATATATCATTCTTCCCTAGGATGCACATAATATCACTGTCAGACACATCCATAAACAATCAGACTAGCAGAGATGTACATATTTATTCTTTTATTTTTTTTATAAGTTCTATTTGTAGCTGGAAGCCTTTCTAGCAAATGTAAACACTCTGCAACTCGATTTGGCTGATTAACCCTTTTAAATCCCATAATATTTTACTAGACAACATGCTGCTCAGAATTTAGTTTGTCCTTAATGCACCTACAGTTTTATTTATCAATGTTTATACATTTTAATACTTCGCTTTTAGGCATTATGTATATATATATATATATATATACATAATGCCTAAAAGCGAAGTATTAAAATGTATAAACATTGATAAAAAAAAC